AGCGAGCACAATACTCTTTTTACTATGCAGATCGTAGTGCTACAGGCCATAGCACCTGACAATTACCTATTAATAAAAAAAATACACCTTCAGAATGACAACGCGGGAGTTATCACGCCATACAAGCCACGGTTATCACTTACCATCAGATGGGCGAAGAGCTTGTATACTATTCCAACTCCAAAATTGACTTTGTACAAAGTCAATTTAGAAATTCAGGTTATAGAGTAATTTCGGTAACTTCGAAAGAATTTGTACGTAATATGAAAAAGTCAGTAATCAGTAAACAACTGGCATAATAGCATTTTCGCTTTTCACACGTAGTTGATTGGTTCAATCAAGAATTGGATTTTTTTTTGAGTGCACTGCGCATGTTCTTTTATGTTGAAGAAGGTTTGTGAAGTGAATTAAATATTCCTTTGTATAAATTAAATGCGAGAAAAATCTCTGAAAATTATATATGACTTTTAACTCACAATACAGCGGAAATCTTTTGTTGAAATTCATCTGTAATGAAATAAAATCCGTAGAGTTGTGTGTAACCACAAATGTTTATATCGGTTTAAGGTCGCGTTTCCCCGTATTAATAAAAATTGAATAATATAGGGTATAAAAAGCGGGCGTAATGTTCGAAGCATTATTTAGCTGTCAACCTTCGGTATAGGGGAGAGGGGATTGTTAGTAATGGGGACTAATCAATATTAGCAATGTATCAAGTCGGGTGGACCTTCACACGTTTCGCCTTGGAAATCATTGTGTTTAATTCTTGGTGAATTCCATAGACTTTATGCCCAAACACCAGCATCTAACATCCACCGGTGCTAAACCAGCGTATACCTACTGTTAGCGCAAGCGGGTGTACCGTTCCACTATATAACAAGAATAAATTTAGTATAGACAATAACTCAGTGATACGCAGATGACATTATATGAATTTTACCTCGGATATATTATGAGATTTCTTTTAGTATTCATAATTATACCTCAATACATACGTGATGTATACTCAAATGAAATGGAGCTGAATAGAGAAACTGTTTCATTCCAAATTCGATTGGAAACTACTTGTCATTGTTTTTCAGTTTCGATAAGTATTTTTTTTTGTTATTATTAACAAACCATTTGCTACATATGGCAGTAATGTTTCACGGTATAATACGATTTTATATTCCTGTATTTCACAGTTGTTTTTATACATTTTAAAAATATGTTATAAGGTGACATTCCTCATAACATATAACTATATTTATGTGGCTTTGTTAAACTATTATATATATTCTTCTTCGTATATACTACCTATATGCAAAATTTCATGATAATTTATATAGGTGTTAAGGCGCTAAGAGGTAATAAACAAATACTCACTTTCCTTAGGTCATTCATTAATTCAACATAATTTATATACGCCTAAGTCAAAGAAGCATTTTCTTTTTTATATATACATATAGTCGGAGATGTAACGGACGAACTTTTACAAAAGAAGGAAAGAATTCATATATAACACATTATTCAAACACCTACATATACCACATATTACAGCCTGTAATGTATTTATTGATTATAAGAAAACTAAGATAGCACATATAGCATTACCATATTTATTCAGTAATAGCACAGATAATATAATATTACATAATAGCATATTTACTTCTTTAGTAGTAGTCCACCTGCAGTGCTTCTTTTAAAAGACTTTTACAGTTAATTATTGATGGTAAATTCTCGTTAGCACTAAATTACCACTTCTATTGCTTCTTTTACAAATCATTAAATCTTTTACAACCACTATTTTGTGATAGTAAATTCGCTTCTGCACTAAATTACCACATCGTGTTTATTTTACCAAACATCAAAACTACTACAAAAATTATTTGATGTAGTGAATTACCACATATTATATTACTACCATCAATAGTCAAATAAAAAAAACTATTTATTGAAACTCTATTCTTACCTATTCTCACTACGAAAGGCATTGTCAATTTATATATATATATAGATATATTTTATACGAGAATTTATTGCATTTACGTTATATAATGAAGTCCCAGGTTTACTTGGAAAATATACATATTTTCAACATTAATTCTTATATTGGCTCAGAAAATATATCATTTTGCTTTGTTGATCCATTACCAATTGGCTATGACAATGGCTATGAGTTATTGCTTTCTTATACAATAGAGTCTTTGGATATGTCACGGCCTTTCGGACTTGTGGAAAGATTTGGAAGTAGGATGGGGGAGGGGGGTATATTGTGTTAACAAATGTATTGGACATATCAATTTATGTTTTATAAAAGATATTTCAATATTCTGAAATAAAAACGTAATATATAATAATACATAAGAATTTTAAATTATTTCTACATGTAATTACAATGTAGAAGTTTATTTTTCAACACAGGTGTTGATTTAGTTAAAATTTTTTATTGTAATTGGGATTATAGAATTACAATTATAAAGATTACTGCTCTGATGTACAATTTGAAATATTTTTGTAAAGTTGTTATCTTATATAGTTATTATCTCATACTACTAGTGTACATATAAAAATCTGTTGCAATATGTCATACGAAAACGCCTGAATTATTTCAATTGAACTATAGTACACAGTTAGATTCATCATTTTAGAACTTATAATTCGTACTCATGGGAGTAGCGCCACAGTACTGAACCAGTATAATATAAAATATAAAACTTAAAATTAAAAAGAATTTGTAATACTTTTTGTAAAATAACAGAGAATCTTAAAATAACAAAGATCTTAGTTTCTTGTTAGTTCTTCTTAGCTCAAATGCGCTGCGAACTGACGGTAGATTAGACATATCATACGAGTCTGTAATAGACCTACATGAAAAAAGATATTTTCATTTGATTTGATAAGTCATATTCTGCATTAGATACAATCCGTGTAATTTTTATTTAAATTATTATTGAACTATATTGTTTTGTTATAAAAAATGATACTTGTTGCGACATCTATCTGAAAGTGTACTGAAGTTCTAATAAGTTGAAACTTATTTCATGGAAATTTTCTATCGACGAACTACGAAGCAGTGGTATGCTGTATATATGCTCTGTGTTTTTCCTCATTGATGAATGTTTTAGGAAAATACGTAGAGATGGCGCTATTCGTAAGTTTTGGGGCATTGCCTTGCAACTTCAGGTTTTCAAGTGTTTTCAAGTATCATCCATCACGCTTACATATATACTATATATTATATAATACTATAATACTAGTTGGGCCCGCGGTTTCACTCACGTTAAATTTAAATATAAAATATAGTCTATGTGTTATTCTGATGTATAACAGTAATATTGCATTACTGTAAAGTTTCATCAAAATCCGTTCAGTAGTTTTTGCGTGAAAGAGTAACAAACATTCATTCTCACAAACTTTCGCGTTTATAATATTTTTCTTATTATATTTGTTAAACCGAATTTTATCTGTTATAAAACAACTCATTAAAGTGTATTGGTAAATAGATAATCTTAATTTAAGATACAACAAATCTTTATTACATACAACATATAGTAATTTTAATTAATTACTCAATAACTATTAAATTGCTTGATAGAGAATAATATTTTGTATCTATATTATTATTAAAGTGCCTGTTTTTTAACTTTTAAAAAGTAAGCGGCCGTATGAACTTAATATTTGTCGTGAAGTAGATTTTTCTGAAGGACGTTAATGGAAACACCTATGTAATATTATATTATCTGTGTATGTATTAAGTATTGTACAACACATATACATATTAACCACGGCAATAAACTTGTCCTGCCTACACTACGCTACCAAGGAACAGGACATTGTCGACTACATAAGAACCAGGTGTAAACTAATTTTGACGGTGATGCAGCTGGAGTCGAGTCACAACGCAAGTTTCAAGACATTTGCGCTCGGGTCGCCATCAACATGGTGACCACGTAAATGGTAAAGGAGGAAAGTGTGGTGTATCGGCGCTATAGTGGCAGATTCCCGTCGTCAGTGCCGTGACCACGCAGACAGTCTCTATATATTAGTATTATAATATTAATTCATATGTATATTAGTCTATAAGGTATTTTTAAATAAGTGAATTAATAATCTGAATTAAATAAATAAATTAAGAGGGCCATCCCATGTGCCGGAAACAAAAAAACGTTTTTTTTTCATAACTTGCTTTCTTAACATGTCTATAATATGGTAAAGTGTTTTTTTTTAAATTCGAAGTCGTTTTAAAGATACAGCAGTTAGAAGGAGCTGTTCGGAGCGCTGAGTTGGTAGTCGGAGTCCGGGCAGTTAGCACATGTGTTATTGTGTGTGTTAAAGCGGTTCCCTAGGGATATGTATCCCGAGAGATATATTCCTTCGATAAGACTGTCGTCACAGATCACGGGCAAAGTAAGGAGTTACGAGCGTACCTGGCTTTCTGCTATGGCGTCTTGGTGCAGGAATCGATGATCGACGACGATGATGATCGATGAACTGATCACACACACAACACGCGCGGCGGAAATTAGTGTATATACACCTTGAATATTGCACACTATCTATATACACCTTGACAATTCAATAGTTTATTAAATCGTAGTGATTCAATTATTATAAAACGTAATTATGTGCGAGCGGCGTTTCTCAGACACGAGCGGGAAACGAAGAAGAAACGCCATCTTTCTTTCCATCGATGGCGCGGGCGTACTCGGCTCCTTTCGGCCCTAGATCGTGAGTATGTCTGTCCTTGTCTATTACACGAGATGTGCATTTAAACTAGTTGTGGCGCAAACATTCCCCCGGCCTTAAAGGGTTGCCTTTAAAAAAAATATACATATATATACCACTGGGAAATGAATAGCAGTATGCGGAAGATATATATAAATAAAATGAGCGGTATATTAATGCGTATAAGATTAATCATAAGCGGGAAGTTATCTGAGGTTATGTGAATACGATATATGAATGAAAGTTATATATAACTAAGCTAAATCTAAATTTTACTTATATTAAATATATAACTATTGATGCGGCAATGGGCACAAACGAACTACCGGGCGAAGGTAGCTACCCTTTGAAGTCCTAACAGTGACCACTCGCGTAGTTCCGTCTTTGGAAGGATGTACCTTTTCAACGACAGCTAATGGCCATGAAAAGGGCGGTGCGTTATCTATTACTAAAATTACAACAGTACCCTCCTTAATGGGAACTGGTGGAAGATTCCATTTAGCGCGTGTCTGCAATTGATGCAGATACTCCATTCGCCACCGGCGCCAGAAAGACTGTACAATGCTATCCAGAAGGGAATGGCGTTGATTTAAATCGTGCGTGTTGGCTTCTGGCGCAGGAATGGATGAAAGAGGGACAGTATTTAAAAAATGAGCCGGCGTAAGAGCAGACGGCTCAGCGGGGTCACTACTTCTAGCTGTGAGTGGACGCGAATTAATAAGTGCCTCAACCTGAGAAAGCACTGTTATAAGTTCCTCATAAGAGAGAATTTGTGATCCTATCACCTTAAATAAATTATTTTTAACTATTTTTACGATGCTTTCCCAACTTCCACCGAAGTGGGGAGCAGCGGGAGGAATGAATTTCATACTAATGCGATTTTCTGAAAGTTCTAATTCTAAATGCGGGCGATATTCATCAAGAAACTTATATAAATCGCGAAGATACTTGCGAGCACCCACGAAACATGTTCCATTGTCCGTATATAAACAGTTTATCGGGCCTCGGCGAGATAAGAATCGTTTAAGTGCGGATAAGAAACTAACCGTGCTTAAATCAGTAGCAACTTCAATATGAGTAGCACGGGTTGTCAGACAAGTGAAAATACATAGCCATGCTTTGCGGCCTTTACCCCCCCGACCACGAATAGGTGTGTACTGTAAGGGACCGGCATAGTCACAGCCTACATGCGTAAATGCCTTATCAACTTGAGTGACGCGGTGGCTCGGTAGATCGGCCATGAGTGGAAACGTAGGGCGCGGTTTTATTTTAAAACAAGCGTTACATTTATGAATGCGATAACGTATTAAGCGGCGAGCGGACAGGATCCAGTACTTCTGCCTGAGTAAGGACATAAGTAACTCTGGTCCTGCATGAAGATGCTTCTTATGATAAAAATCGATAAGAATATCGATAACATGATCGCGGCGCGGTAAAAGTAGAGGATACTTAGTGCAGTAATCCTCAGCGGAACTTGACAAGCGACCACCGACGCGGATGACATCGTCCTTGTCTATAAATGGTCGGAGCTTGTTTGAAGCGGAAGAACAATATTTATTATTTTTTAAATTATTAAACTCATGTGCAAAATATACTTCTTGCACGGCGCGGATTAACTTTATTTCAGCAAAATCTAAGTCTTCACTCGTAATAACGGTATTACGAGGAAGGCGTTTAATAAATTTATATATATAAACAATAGTCCGTAATAATTTAGAATATACAGAAAGGCGTTGAGATAGCGCGTAAAGTAATGATTCAGAGGTATTTGAAATTAATGTGTGTATAACAGTCCGTTGTTCGGGAATGTCTTCATTCGATAAGTCGTGATTAACAGCAAGTGGCCACTCGGCCGGGTTACTTAATACCCATGAAGGTCCGGTGTACCATAGCGGATGGTTTACTAGCTTGTCTGGTGTGAGTCCACGAGACAGGCAGTCTGCAGGATTATCGGAACCAGCAACGTGATAGAAACAGTCTGCCGGGACGTTATCGATAATTTGTACTACCCGATTGGCAACGAAAGTTTGCCAGCGGTGCGGAGAAGAGTGGATCCAACAAAGAGCCACTTTTGAATCACTAAAGGCGTATATATTATTCACAGGATACCGTGGTGCGATAGTATCAACAACCTTACGAAGTAGTTTTGCGAGTAATACGGCTGCGCACAATTCTAATCTCGCGATGGATACAATTTTTACAGGCGAGACCTTTGACTTGGCGCATAATAATTGAACAAAATATTTACTATCAACCTGAATGTGTAGGTAGACTACACCGCCATAAGCACGTTCACTAGCGTCAGCAAATCCTAAAATATTCAATTGACAATCCTCAACCACACCTAGGTGTCGCGGTATGCGAAGCCTATTAAGCGAGGGCAGTTCTAAACAGAACTGTCTCCAGGCTGCGATGATATGATGCGGGGGTTGAGCATCCCAATCACATTTCAACAACCAGAGTTCCTTAATAAGGAGCTTGGCGTACAAAATAGCGGGAGCCACGAAACCTAAAATGTCCCATAAACGGGCAACAGCGGAGAGAATAGCGCGCTTAGTACATATAGCGTCTGGCGTGATTACCTTGAACTTAAAAGAATCATTAGAGTTATCCCAAAATAGACCTAAGATCTTGTGCGGGGTGGAATTATCGAATGATTTGTCACTGAGGGTTTTGTGTGTATCCGGGATGTGAGCAAGCACGTCGCGGGAGCTGCTCGTCCACTTTACGAGATCAAACTGTGCCATTTTAAAAAGTGCAATAAGTTCGTTGCTAATGGTAATAGCCTGTTCATCTGTCATAACAGAAGATACGATATCATCCATATATAGTGCAGACGAAGCAACAGCGGCAGCAGCAGGGAATTTATCCCCTTCATCTTCAACTAGTTGTTGAACAACGCGGAGCGCGAGAAATGGACTCGACCTCAGTCCGAAGCATACACGATTAAATTCATATTCAGTCACAGGATCATCGGTGCTGAAGCGGTACAAAATTCGCTGAAACCTACGATCGGGTTCGCGTACAACTATTTGATGAAACATTTGAAAACAGTCGGCGGAAATACAAACTTTAAAAAGACGAAAGTTAATTAAAATACTAAATAAATCACCCTGTAGGTTGGTACCACTATGCAATATATCATTTAACGAACGACCAGATGTCGTTTTACAACTGGCATCTAAAACCACGCGCAATTTAGTGGTGACCTTATCCTCTCGTAGCACTCCGTGATGTGGAATGTAGTACGAGGGTATAAGTGAATTGTCTTGATGCGATTTAACTGGACTTAAATAGCCCTTATCAATATATGCGCGAATTACTTCGTTATAAGAAAAACGAAAATGAGGTGACGCTTCCAACTTACGTTCTAGACATAAATAACGTCTATGTGCGGCAGCGAAAGAGTCGCCTAAGGAGAACACGTCCTCTCGAAACGGCAGGGATACGATATATCTACCACTATCATCACGAGTAGTGGTGGCGCGAAAATAATGTTCACACTCGAGATCATCGGCACTCTGAGCGGGCGGCGCGGATATCTCCTCCAATTCCCAAAAACTTTGGAAGAGAGTGTCCATACGATCATGAATCACGGAACAACATGACGTTGTATATGCGGTATTTAATAATGCGGAATTAGGCGATGCGGAATTAAAAGTGGGTACGGAACCCATGATTACAAACCCTAATACGGTTTGTATCGCAGGCGGAATATTACGATGCTTGCTATGCACAATACCCGGCAATAGCAAGTGCCGGAATATAGAACTACCTATAAGTACGTCTATATTACTAGGAATGGCAAACTCGCCGTCTGCCAGCGGTAGGTTTTTAATGTGTGAAAATGCGGCGGTATTGACAGGAACGGAAGGCAAACTGTCCGTAATACGGTCAACAACAAGCGCGGAAATATTAAAGTGAACATTAAAATTAAAACGAGAAAATATATTAAATTCTACTGAACCCTTAACGTTTTTTTGTGAGCCACCGATACCCTTTACCATCGTAGATGAATATTTTAATTCATTTAATAAACCTAAGCGGTCACAACATTCATCAGTAATAAAATTACTTTGGGACGCACTGTCCAATAAACATCGAACTAAGTGTTGTTTACCTAATGCGTCATACACAATAACGCATGCAGTTGCTAGTAGCACAGTTTTGTTACTGAGCGCGCAAAGTGACAGACCACTCTGCTTGGCCACGGCCTCGCCACTGTGTGACGGGAGCGGGGGTGAGGCCATGCTACTACGGGGCGCGGGCGCATCGCGCGCGGGCAGCGAGCCCCGATCCGTAACAAAATGTAGCAAAGAATGATGGCGCTTTTGACATGCACGACACGAAGATTTTGATGTACAAACACCTGACTTATGCTTGGTACTTAAACAATTTACGCATGAATTGTTAGCTTTAATATGTTTATAACGATCGAGAGGTGACAATTTTTCGAATGCACTACATTTATAGAAATGATCATGCATATTACTATTACAAAGTGAACATTTTATAGGTGTTACACTTGAAACATAAGACTGCGGGTCCGGGTACTTAGCAGGCGGGCGGTATTTATTAGTAGGCGGGCGGTATTTATTTGACTCTGTACTGGTGGCGGGCGCGGGTTGTGTATTTTCATATATGCGGCATTGCGTTTTTATAAAATTAATAAATCCGTCAAAATCACGTGATTTTGTTATAGAAGAGTGTAATTCGAACGCGCGTAATGTTTCTGAATCGAATTTACGTTTTGCAATATATAATAAAATGAAATCGGATAATTGTTTTATACCTAAGCCCTTTAACGACATAGCGGCGGTGACATACTTATCTATAAATAATTGAAAACTTGCGGCGGAAGGCATTTTGCCTAATTTAAGATTTAAAATCTGGTCTAAGTAATTAGAACCGAGAACGTGAATATCTTGATACTTATCAAGCAGAGACTTAAATATAATTTCATAGTTTTCGGCGCAGGGTGTAATACCTGCAAATACCGATTGTACTTTGGGTGATAACTTACCCAGTAAATAATACAGTTTTTCTGAGTTTGTAAGTGAGGGTTGTCATGGACAGTAGATTTGTAACTAGCGTAAAATAAATTCCAATCTTGATAATTGCCGCTGAAGGAGACTAATTCCAGGGGGGGGAGCCTGGGCCTAGATACAGGTGCATCTATCCCACACGAATTCCCACCCGTGGGCGCAGAAGAAAGATCAGAAAATGTCTGTTTAATTGAACAAAACAAATCTTCAAATGAGTCATATACATGAAAATTAGGTACGGCAGAAGGATTCTCATCAAGCATCCTACTATTATATTCATCAAGTACATCTTGAAACTTATTACGAACGTCATCGATGGTTATACATGAACTAAGAAACATACGTCTTTTTTCTTCCGATTCCGTAGCCGACTTCGACTTATCGTAAATACTTTGTATTCGTTGAAATAAAGCATTACGTTTAGCTTCTAACATAATAAGTTGACGACTAGGTGAAAAGGTAGGCGCATCTTTATCTTTACGTGACATATCTAATGATTTAACGCAATATAACTATAGGTAATTATACAGTGACCTGTCAATAGACAGCGTAAGCGGACAGTAACGAAAATAAAAATTATATGTAGGTATGTAGCGAGAACACGGTTAAGTGTTGCGTAGATTACTATATAAAATATAATGGAATGCGGGATATAGACATTTATATTTGTATATTATAGGTGTGCGGGATGTACAAGTATATTATGTATAATATAGTTATAGGATACAATTTTAAGACTATACTATAAATGCGGTGATATAAATATTTATTATCTAAAGAGATAATACAGAGGAATGCGGGATATCATATGGTATTCTATAGCGGTATATAATAAATATGTTTATAAATAATAAACTATTACACATATAGGTGCTTGGTTGCGGTATAATATAAAGAAATAACAAGGCAATCCTATATGGCTACGCGGGTATGTCTGAGAAACAAATAAGTAATATAAGACTAAATAAGCGGATTTTATATTATCAATTTTGAAAGCGGTTTCTTAATAATAATATTAAACGAAGGACCTTGCGAATAAATAGCAAAAGGGGTACGTTATTAAATGTAACTCAATTTAAAAAATAGCAAAATATCCGGTTCGCAACGGGCCAAGAAATGTTAAAGCGGTTCCCTAGGGATATGTATCCCGAGAGATATATTCCTTCGATAAGACTGTCGTCACAGATCACGGGCAAAGTAAGGAGTTACGAGCGTACCTGGCTTTCTGCTATGGCGTCTTGGTGCAGGAATCGATGATCGACGACGATGATGATCGATGAACTGATCACACACACAACACGCGCGGCGGAAATTAGTGTATATACACCTTGAATATTGCACACTATCTATATACACCTTGACAATTCAATAGTTTATTAAATCGTAGTGATTCAATTATTATAAAACGTAATTATGTGCGAGCGGCGTTTCTCAGACACGAGCGGGAAACGAAGAAGAAACGCCATCTTTCTTTCCATCGATGGCGCGGGCGTACTCGGCTCCTTTCGGCCCTAGATCGTGAGTATGTCTGTCCTTGTCTATTACACGACATGTGCATTTAAACTAGTTGTGGCGCAAACAGTGTGTATATATACGTTTATATAAATTTAGACCAGTTTTTACAGGCTTAAAAATTTCTATAATTATTAAATACTTTACTAAAGTTATTTTAATCTTGGTTTAGCTTCGAAGAGCGTACCAACTACAAATTATTTCTTTTAACAATGAGTGGACGGAAAGGAAGTACGAGTGGAAATGTTCATCCTGGTCGTAGTAAAAAAAGAAAGTATTATCACAATTGTTCTTCAGATGAAAACTCTCAACATCAATTTTGTCCAGAAGGCCAAGAAAATGTAAATAGCATAAGGCAGAAGCTAAGAATGAGTAGAACCAATTTCATCACAATAAACCCCTAATAACTGAAGCTATCAAACCTGTTTTCGAAGATTTATTGAAAGACGAATTACTAATTCATTGTTTAGGAGCAGAGACACAAAACAATAATCATAGAGTCTTTGAATTCGTTGATCTGGATTTTTGCTCCTAAGTATCTCCATTCTGACCCCAAGATAGTTGAAATTCATAGCTACTTATCAGTAATCATCTTTAATTAACGTTTTGAAGGTGTTTTAAAACTAATGTTTTATGATTACTATAGTGTAGTAGTGTAGTTACTATAGTGTTTTACGGTTATGAGATGCTCCATTGGCCGCGAATCCTATACTTATGTTGAGAAATATGATAAAAAGCGAATATCACGTTCTGAGCGGCGCGTAAGTGATGTGATTACACAAGCCAGGATTGACTCCAGAGCTGAGCTTTGAAAGAGTTTCAAGAGGAAGAGGAAGGAATGTTCTATGGACCAGGCATCGCGGATTGAGGGTAAGTTAAGTTTTTCATTGTTTTAAGCGAACTTAAAACTTTAAACGCATTTTTCTCATAACTGTGTTCAAACATTCCTCCATCGTGTCACAAAAACGGCTTGATCGAATGACTTGACATCAGCACATGTAAACGTATGGAATGGACTAATATAAAAAAAATCCCAAAATTACTATATTTTTATAACAAAAAACAAAAAAAAAACTAAATATTCGCAACTTTTTTTTTCAAATGTTTACCTGAAGTCTAATTTTTGTATGAATCTAAAGTATTCATTTGATAATAGTCCATTCCGTGTATTTAGGCTGATAGGTTAAAACGCCGCAAAGTTTTTTTGTTTCAGATGAGCTAATCAGCCGGAACCGTAGAGGAAGTGCGAACCTATTTTTTCGAGACGGTGTTCAGAACGCTGTAACTCATATTCTATATGATAATTTTAGCTTATAATTTATATTTATACTGTCGAAATACATGTCAATAAACTAAAAGCTCTATCTAGTCACTGATCCTAGAAAAAAATCCTAAAAAATCCCTAAAAACCAGGCTGTCATATGGCATGACTCCCTTAAATTAACGAAAATTCAAGTATTCATACCGGTGTTGATATTAAACACACATCTATAGTTTTAATATTTATTTTTATGAAACAGATGCGTCCTTGAATATTAATTTAATTAACTAAATCTTATGTTACAATAAAACTCTGTTATTGGGATAAACGCAATTTTACTAAGTAGCTTTTTCCTTATGTGGTAATTTCTGATAGGTGAGCCTCGTGAGGGTGGAGATAATAATATTCAGTTTGTATGCCCCCTAATTTCACTCTTATATTACATATTTTAACCGAATCATAACTTTGAAGTACTAAGCTTTTTGGCAAATGGTATAAGACAGAGGTGTCCACACAGATTTGTGTTGTAACTGGCTAATTAGACATATATTTTTTATTCTAAATTTAATGTTCTATAACTGTACTTTCTTATTTTATAATTCATTTCTGTTATGTCAATACTTTCTGAACATATTTTCTCCGTATACCTAGTTTTTTTCGTTTTACCTATACACAAATTAAATAAAACTACAACACTTTGTACAAGCTAGACCTCGATATTATTAGAATAGAATAGAAAATCATTTATTCGAATAAACTTAATTACACTTTTGAATAGTCATAACAATTTGTTTTTTATCTACCACTCGTTCGGAAAGCTGTCTCATCACAAGAAGAACGAGCAAGAAACTTATGTGTT